GATATAGGCTAAGCAACTAACCCTGATTGTAAACAAGCTATTTCGAAAGTGAATCCCGTATTATATGAGGGATGTGGATCCTGAAACTTTGCTGCATGCAAGTTACAGGGAACGTGGCTGTTGGTCCTGTTTGTTAGCAGCACGTAAAACAACTTTTATTTAAATTCTGAAGATCTTATTTACATCGTGTCTGTGTGGCGTTTAGCATTCAGTGAATTCTGACTGTGTTACCCTGTATCCATTTATATATTTCTTTATTAATATCTTAATATATTATTACATCTTATATTAACAATTTGCACACTGAGCGTTATCCGGCTCCGCTCCTCCCGACCGCAGACTCAGGCTTACAAGCCACTTTTTCCTGCGTTTTTCAGTCAATTTCTTGACTTTACCCCCCTTATGAACAACACATTTTCGTACACGATAAAAGCTCCTTGTGGTTTCTCGGTTTGGCCAATTTGAGCATCCATAAACAATGCAAAACACAGGCATTTTGAGTTTCTGCTAGTGATTTCTGTGGCGAAAAATCACTCCCTGCCCTCCAGCTGCATTTCGCGCATCATCAGAATCACGTGATTGCAAACAACCTGACAAACGCAACACATGCACAATTATTAATTATAATATTGTCAACGGCAAAACTTTGTCCATTTGGCCGATGCTTGTAAATGAGTCTGGCTACATGTATGTTTTTAAAGACCACGGTCATGTTCTAATGGCACTTTCCAGTTTCTTCAAACGATCACAAGGAGAGGACTTGAGGAGGGCGCTTTGTTTTATTGCGAAAGTCGACAAAGTATTAAAAATCTACTGTTGGGTAAGTACATTTTGTATTATTTTATTAATGTGGTTGAGTTTTACTTGTTTGACACGAAGGAACCGAAAGAAATGCGCACATTGTCAACTGAAATGTAGTTTGAGTTTGGCTAAAATTAGCTAACGCTAGTAGGCTAAAAGTAGGGCTAGTGTGAATAAATCTAGATTTAAATTAAAAGAGAAAAGATAGTCTATGCATGACCTGGCGTTTTATTCGTATCCAAAACGAGGAGATGTGAACATACAGAATACACATTATTGGTCATTGTCCAGCAGTTTATTTGATTTCTTAGCCAATTACAAGTAAGAAAAATGAATGAAACCTGTTAGAAAAAAAAAGTATTATTACATTTTACATTATTGTCCCCTTCACTTCTGAAATGATGGCTACACCATAATAAACATAATTTCAGTGTAAGCCATGAGTGACAGTCAATACTTGTCACAAAAACTGTGGATATGGATAAGCACTAAGTTCATGCACTTGTTGCATGATAGATGAGTGGTTGTGAAAGTGTATGTTTTAAAATGGCATACAATCGCCACGCTGCACATTCATGTTAATTGTAATATTGACCTTGCATGGACATTTTTCTGAGGTGAAGTAATCCTGAGTAATTTCTTTCACAGAATCATGTCCAGGCGGCTGTGAGATCTGATCTGATCATCATCCAGTCTGTCTGCAATGATGTGAAGAAACAGAATTCACGGTTTGTGTGTGTTCACTGCTGTGTGTGTGCACTTTGGATGGGTAAATGCAGAGCACTAATTCCGAGTATGGGTCACCATACTTGGCCACACACGTCACTTCACACAAAAGTATTAGGCACTTGTGTAAAAATGCTGTCAATTTTCTTTATCAATTAACTTCTATTACCCTAAATTAAATCAACATTTGGTGTGGCGTCCTTTGTGTTTAAAGCAGGTTTTGCCCTTTTGAGCAATAGTAGCTGTTTAACAAATGGAATAATTTTTTTTTTTAAATGTAGTATTCACAATAAAATACGTGCTAAATTAGAACACTCTTCTATTTACTTTAGTCCACAAATGTGTTATTGTTGTGATACACGTGATTAAAAGGTTTTATAGACGTTCAGGTCTGACTGGACCGATTTTGGACCTTTTTAGAACATTGGTCAAATTCAGATGTGCCTTTCACGATGTTGCACAATGGGTGTGTGATTATTTTATATGCAGGCTTATACTTAAATTATGCAGCAACACATCTTATAAACATCCGGAAGATGACACATTTAGACGTCCAGGGACGTGCAGAAAAGACGTGTAATTCACGGACAGAAGACGTCAAAGACGTCGGTTCAATTTTCATTTTGGATATATTTTTCAACCATGACGGGACGTGTCGGAGGGACGTCTTTTCAACGGCCATTAAACGTCCAAATGTTTGCTGGGTCGTCTTGGCTCAAAGCCACTTGCTGAGAACTTTTCTTCGCGGAAGCTTTGCGTTAAACAAGTGAGATAACGAAATATTTAATCTCTAATCAATATTTTTTGTCCACTTATTTGCCCAGTTATTTTTGGTACTGAGGTAAAAGTTACCTTGCATTCGCTAAAGTGGGTGGTGGTCACGAAGATGACGGAGCAAATTTGATGCGTTTCCCCCTTTTGCAGCAGCGGGGTTAAGTTAGTTTTGTTTTCGATATTCCTGACACATTCAGAGATAAATGGCAATAACTCCAAAACGACTTGCCCTAAAAAAATCGAAACAATGTGACCGCCAAAAGGGCAAAGCTGATTATGTTTCACAGTCTTCTTTTTCATAATTTTCGCTTTATAAATGAGGCATTCGTGGAAGGCCAAACAAAGTAGTTTCGCTTTCACAACGAAGCACACAGCGTCTTCACGACATGGCAGCACAAAAAATACTACAGAGAGAATAAAAGTTACGCCTTCTTTCTTTGCGTGAACATTTGGGCGGCATTATGCAAATCTTCCCGCATAGTGAGGTAGATATGTGGGGGCGTGTTAGAACGAGCCGTTTTAGGTAGGCGTGGCTGACTCTTAACTTTTATAAAGAATATCTCTTTGGATTTGAGACTTTAGTCTTTGCAACTTTACAGATCTTCTTTATGCACCAAGAGCTTCTAACACTCCAAAGAGAAAGGAAAAATTGAAATTGCATCATATGTCTACTTGTCTATTTAAATGAGCCACACCTGCATATAATATATTTAGCATAATAAAAAGCTATAGTAATAATTAGTATATAAATGACATAAGAAATATTTTTTCACTGTGTGGACATTGACTCCAGAGCTAAACACTGGTTTCAGGCTTTTAAGGGGTGGACATGTGTATGCTAAGCCTACAAAATCTTATATCAACTGACAAACTGTAAAATATAAGTTGATAGAATCCTCTGCTATGAACAAATGCTGATCAAAATCATTCTAGATGCAGGTATTGTGCAAAGCTACAGTCTATGCTATGTGTTAAATACAAATTATTCTTAGTTACTAAAGTTACTAAAGTGATTCAGATAAGAGCAGTGAGTGATTTTCTTATATTTTTGGTTTGATTAACATTTGACATTGATTAAGACCTGATGCACGGATCAAATATTTGGACACATCTGTATTTCTCCTATTGTATTTCTCCTACCGACTGCATTTACATGGATACTCTCCAAGACGGGCATTTTGACATAACTTTTTGTGTATTTGAGTGTGTAGTAATAACATACAAAAAATAACTTAATTTGTCATTCACACACTGAGAGGAAAATTCTGTGAGGAAGTAATGTCAAGACTTAAAAACTCATTTGAAATCTGAATGTCACTTTAGTAACAAAAGCATCTGGTCAGTGACGTAAATATTTTTTGTGTCCCAAAGCCAAAGGCTCAAGTCTGAGTGAAAATGCATTCGAGTGCATGACAACTCCAAGTCCGCTAAAGTTGTATTTGAGTTTCGAGTACTCCAAATCTTCCCAAAAGATTGTTAATTTTGGACATGCAATTCCTTAATCACCCACTTGGGGGAAAATGGAAGGTTGTGAAAGATGTCCACTGTCGGTCTCTATTGATTGACACTGGTCTCATGACTCCATCTTTCTGCTGACAAAAGTTATTAGAAAAAGAAGGTTAATTTTGAACATGCAATACCCTCATCATCCACTTGGGATAAAATGGAAGGTTGTGAAAGATGTCCACTGTCCCCTTCTATTGATTGACACTGGTTTCATGTCTTTGTCTCCCTGATGTAAAAAGTTATTACAAAAAGAAGGTTAATTTTGCATCAGGGAGACAAAAAGGTTAATTTTGGACATGCAATTCCCTTTTATACCAGTAGGGGTAAAATGAAAGGTTGTGAAAGATGTCAACTGTCGCTCACTATTGATTGACACTGGTTTCATGTCTTTGACTCCCTGATGTAAAAAGTTATTACAAAAAGAAGGTTAATTTTGCATCAGGGAGACAAAAAGGTTAATTTTGGACATGCAATTCCCTTTTATACCAGTAGGGGTAAAATGAAAGGTTGTGAAAGATGTCAACTGTCGCTCACTATTGATTGACACTGGTTTCATGTCTTTGACTCCCTGATGTAAAAAGTTATTACAAAAAGAAGGTTAATTTTGCATCAGGGAGACAAAAAGGTTAATTTTGGACATGCAATTCCCTTTTATACCAGTAGGGGTAAAATGAAAGGTTGTGAAAGATGTCCATTGTCCCCCTCTATTGATTGACACTGGTCTCATGTCTACAGGCCCTTTAACTAAAAAGCTATTACAAAAACACCGCCCACTGAGGCATAGCAAAAAACTAAGAAAATTACCTTACCGAAAGCTGCGCGAATAGCGTGCTCTCCCGGCTTAATGCACATTGCGACGGCTTGTGCGGGGCAGTGCTTATTACATCGTGCAAAAATTATGAAAAAGTAGGCTGTGAAACATGATCAGCTTTGCCCTTTTGGCGATTACATTGATTCGATTTTTTAGGGCAAGTCGTTTTGGAGTTGTTGCCGTTTATCGCTAAATGTGTCACGAATATCGAAAACAAAACTAACTTAACCCCGCTAAAACATCACGTTAATTCGCTGTTAAGGTTCAATAAAGACTCGCCAGAGGAGCTAACTTGCATTAAAGGGCAGCAGAACGTACAAACGTGTTTCTCGGTTTAACTAAGGTTTATTTCGACTAATATAGGTGACCTTAACTTACTCACCAGTCCATGTTATCAGCCTTTTGGCGGCATTCCGGTGTAGCAGTCGATTCTGTTGATCTGTTCCCCTAGGAATGCCTGTTTCCCTTTACGCAACCATACTACAATTCTTACGTAGTTGCCTAGTTACCATACGTACGATCAGAACTAGCCTGCGCAAGAAGCACAACTGGATGTAAGGCAAGTCAAATGGTTCAAAATACCGTCTTTAATCCGAAACTTTAAAATAGTTTTAAGAAGAGAGGTTTTTCAACTTTAAATGTATTTCCTTTTTTTTTCCCCAATCAAATTTATTACCGATTTAAATGTGATGCTTAAGGCTTTGGCTATTCTGTTTTATACTGTCTTATACTTACTCATTTATGCTAATATATTTTTCTTTTTTATTATATGCCTTGCTGTTGTTGTATTTATGTGTGCACTGAAAGCTTAAACAATCCCCGTGTGTGGTGTGTGCAAAACATACATTAAAATAAATATACAATGAACCATAAATGTTGTGTACAAATCAGAACCCTATGCACACATGAACATTTTCATGGATACTGATTTTTTTTCTTCTTCTTCTTTCCTGCATTCAATAAACTACAAACCTGGTTAACAGACTCTGTGCCTTGGTCAGTAAGAATTATCTTTGGTGCCCCAAATCTGTAAAATAAATTAATGTAGTGAGAGACCTTTAGATTTATTCAGAATAGCATAGGCTATTTTTTTGTGTAATAGTCAACCAGGACACAAATGTATTCATTTCCATTGTTGGTCCTGGTGACTTTCCCCACTAAATTCATGCCCAGCTGTTCCAGAGGCTTGTTCACCTTACAATTAAAATTAATTTGAGCATTAATACATTTACATTTTGTAACCTCATGACTTCCCTATCTCAAAACCCATGCACATCTGTGGACAACAAGCTTACATACACATATTGGGATG